GGTATTTTTTATTTGGGCTAGTTAAATTAATTTTCGGGCTACCAAAATCTGAAGAGTACCTGCCCGAAGGGCTACCAGGGATTTTTTAATTTTGCGAGCCCTGATAAAGATCTGTGCTTTATTATTATTATTATTATTAAATGTATTTTATATTTTATTAAATTATGCATTTTATTTTATTTTTTCAATCCTGTTGGAGATTTTTTTTTTATGCAGACTTTATTAAGCCACACCTGATTTTTTCTCTCTCTCTCTCTCTCTTTCTTTCTGTCAGTCATTGAGAAGTTCACAGAGAACACGCGTTTCTGTCTGATCTGTAACTACCTTTCAAAGATCATACCTGCGCTGCAGTCTCGATGCACACGGTTTCGTTTCGGCCCCCTGTCCCAGAGCCAGATGATTCCCAGACTAGAGCATGTGATACAGCAAGAGAGGTGAGACTCTCATCACAGCCAATCCAGGTCAAGTGGATGTTATTTCTGAATTAAATTAATGTTGAATTGATTGCATTCTGAAAGAAATCCTTACCACTCCATTTTTATTGATTTTGTTTTCCAGAAAATTAAAAAATCTATATTTATATATTTTTATGTAGTTAGAGGCAAGACATCTTTTGTGTCGGTTGAAGATAGAGCAACATTGAAATGACAGTATTAAGACCGTCTAGTGTTTTGAAATTAATGTTTGGATCATATCTAAAGTGAGTCATCAGATGGATCCACTCAAAAGATCCTGAACACAAAAGACCCTGGCTGGAGTGACCCAGCCCATTTGATTAAAAAACTCTTCACACAAACACACATTTTATATGGGCTCTGCCCTCTGGCACAGAACTCAACTTTGAGCAAATAAAACCAAACATTGTATTTCCCTAGCATAGATTCATAAATATTTAAAAATCTGTTTTTCACTGCTAGCATTGACATCACTCCAGATGGCATGAAGGCCATTGTGACCCTCTCAACAGGAGACATGAGGCGATCATTAAATATTTTACAGGTGTGTATCATATGTAAAAGTGACTTGTGGTTTGCTTGTTATGTTGCTGCTGGTATGAAAAATATGAACTGAGAAATATCTGTAATGTGTGTTCTCATGTACAGAGTACCCATATGGCCTATGGGAAGGTGACGGAGGAGACGGTGTACACATGTACTGGACATCCTCTTAGATCAGACATCGCCAGCATACTAGACTGGGCCCTCAATAAAGACTTCACCACGGCATATAAGCGTATCCTTTTTACTCTAGTGTTTGGTTAGTTATCCAAGCTTTACAGCTCATAATAGCACATGACCTTTTTGTTTTGTTTGTTTGTTTGTTTGTTTTTTTTATAAGAAATGGGATCAAAGTCACCGGTTCACTTTGGATGACAGCATCTACAAAACGTCTGTTTGTAGATATTAATAATAATAACAACAATCAATAAATGAATAAAGTAACTCATAAATTTTTACATAAATATATATATTTACAAACATTTTATCCATATCAGGAAAATGACAACAGAGATTATGCTCAATGTATTCTAATCTGTTACATTTGTGGTTTATACATGTAATATTGTGACTATGTAAAATCAAAACATAAAATCTCTTTAATAATTATTACTATAGAAAAAGGAATAAAAAAGAATTATATATATATATATATATATATATATATTCTAATTATATATGCTATTATGATGATTATGTATTTTATAAATAAAAAAAAGTATTTTTAATATTGATATTTATAATTTAATAAACAATATTTTATTAATGATGTTTAACTGTTTATACAGGAATAGGAATTGTAAGTTGCTGATATTAGTTTATGACGTTTCCAAAGTCCTTATCTGGGTTCAACAGAAATTCTGCAGCTCAAAACTCTAAAAGGTCTGGCACTTCATGACATTTTAACTGAAGTCCATCTTCTCATTCACCGTGGTAAGACTACACTTTTAATTCAGCCTTGCATGGCTCTATAATCAGTTCCTCTTCAAAATAACCAAAGCAGTGCAGAGTCTAGTTGAGGCCTGGAACGCCACACACAACCTATCACAACTTTGATATAGTGATGAGCTACATGTTTTCCCTGCCCTTGTTACCATGGAGATCCTTTTGTGGTTGTCATGGAAACCGGTTGTTCTTGTTTTTAAAGGACGCCTGTTAGAAGTAGCAGAGTGTAGCGTGCTTCACACGCACACATGAAAGAAAAAAAAAAACACTAAATATTACACTATTTTCAGAAACCAGACTGCAATAATGAGTAAAATGGCAAAACAATTTTTATCACACAGCATGCCAGGTTTTCTGTGGGGGGTTTTTTTATGTTTTAAAATAACAAAAAAAGATGTTTAGATTAGATCATTTTTAATCTGATTTGTTGGTCACACAATCAAAGTGTTGTTTGAGCACAGTTAGGTGGGTTAATTTTGCTCTAATGTTTTGTGTCTCTATTTCAGTGGACTTCCCACCCTCCATCCGCATGGGCTTGCTTATAAAGCTTGCAGATATTGAGTGAGTACATTCATTATGTCAAGTTATTTAGTAAATCAGTAGAGAAGTGTGTACACTGCTCCATTCATATTTAAGTAATCAAACAGTCATAAATAAAGCAAACAGCACCACACTCACATTTGCCTCATGGATACTTTATCTACATGAACTCAACTCAGATTCCCCTGATTAATATAAATATGCATTGGTCATTTGAGAATAACTATAAATATTGTACAACATATACAATCAAATTAATACTTTAATTCTGCAAGGATGCATTAAATTGGTCAAAAGTGACAGCAAAGTCATTTATAATATTTCTATTTCAAATAAATGCTGTTCTTTTGAACTTTCTACTCAAAGAATCCTTAAAATGCATCACGTTTGCTCAAAAATATTAAGCAGCACAGCTGTTTTCAACATTGGTAATAATAATAAATGTTTCTTGAGCAGCAAATCAGCATATTAGAATGATTTCTGAAAGATCATGTGACACTGAAGACTGGAGTAATGATGCTGAAAATTCAGCTTTGCATTACAATAAATTACAGTTTTAAATATATTAAAAAATAATATATTAGAACAGTTCTTTTAAATTGTATATTTCACAATATTGCTGTTTTTACTGTATTTTTTTAATCAAATGATTCCAGCCTTAGTGAGAATAAGAGACTTTTAAATACCATTAATAAATCATACCAACCCCAAACGTTTGAACGGTAGATTAATTTTATTATTATATACTTGAGTGAGCATCTTCAACTTCTGTTCTTTCCTTTTTAACCAAAAGGTATCGTCTGGCCTCTGGAACCAATGAGAAGATCCAGCTGAGCTCAATGGTTGCAGCTTTCCAGGCTGTTAGAGACATCGTAGTCAGCGATGGATAGACCATTGGTTCACACTTTGAAAGGGTTATGTAACATAGATCCATGATGTCATGAGAGGAAGTTGTTTACTTCATATTGTTCTGACAAAAAAAAAAAAACTATGCGCAGAACCCTGTAATATTTTTGAAATGTTTATTTTTTTATTCTTGAAATAAAGCTTGTCTCAGTACTTTGTAAAACAAATGCTACATTTTCAAAGTAGTTATGTAAAAAATAAAGTCTTTAAATAAATATTTCAAGTCTTTGTTTTGAAAGCATAACCGTCTGGGGGAATTAGGCATCCTAGAAAATTATGCAACATTTAAAGCAAAGTTTGACCCACAAACATGACTTATTTTCATCTGCAGTGTTCTTCACAATATACGATCTTTTGCTTTGGAACATCCCTGTAAGTAAGGTATTCCAGGATTTTTTTCGGCAAGGGAAGAGCCTCCACCTGATAGGTTGAAATGGAGAATCTCAGGGTGATCCGGCACAGATGCTTAAGGCTCGGAACGAGATGAGGAACTCTCCAGAATTTTACATGTCCATCTCTGCACCTACAATCAAATATAAAGACGTTCTTAATATTTATTCCAGTATACAAGCAGGAAAAAAACAGCCCCTAAAGATTCTAGAGTAAACACTGAGCCGAAACTGAATATAAATGATGTTCCAACACAATTATGTGACTTGCAGTACCCTGTAGCAATGACGCCCCCATGTGGATGGAAAGCACAGCACACGCCACTGGCTCGGTTGTGATCAGTGTCTGCGACTAGTTTATCTTGTTCCATATCCCAGATCCGTAACGCCCTGCAACACAGTACAGTGTCATCAGTAACACCAGAGAAAGGTGTGAGGTCACAAGGGTGACGTCCGGTAATGTAGCTCTGAAGATCTCAGATCTCAAATGGATGGTTCACTGCTCACCTGTAGTCTTTGAAAGCCAGCAGCAGACCAACCGGAGAGAAGCTAAGAGATGTCAGTAGATTGTCACTTCTGTAAGCACACAGCTCACAGTTTCTGGAAAGAGAAGCAAGTATTTTTTACAACAATTTCCAACATACAGTTTATTGTGACGCATAGTTTACCCGAGTAATCCACACAACGCCAGTCCATCAATTAACATCCTATGAAGTGAAAAGATATGTCATTGATATGTTTTTAACTTCAAAATGTTGAGTCCTCTATCCATAATCAGGGGTGCAGTAACGGGGGGAAAGTTAGGACAATTCTAAGGGCCTGACGAGGGAGAGGGGGCCCGAACGCGAGTGAAAAAGCCATCTCGTCTGAATCAGGAGAGAAATATGCACAGATCAAGCACCGTTTACAAGTGAACAGTTCTAAACAAATGTGTTGGTAAATTTTGACTTTTTTTTTTTTGGCCTCGTATTTTGGCCAGAAGTGATGGTTTAAAGTTAAAACATCTTAATGATGGATTTGTTTCTTACAGCTTGTCACTTCACAAGGTGTTAACTGATGGACTGGAGTCGTGTGGGTTATTTGCAGATTATTGTGATGTTTTTAATCAGCTGTTTGGACTCTCATTCTGACGGCACCCATTCACTGCAGAGGATCCATTGGCGAGCAAGTGATGTAATGCTAAATTTCTCTAAATCTGTTCTGATGAAGAACAAACTCATCTACATCCTATATGGCCTGACGGCGAGTACATTTTCAGCCAGTTTTCTATTCCTTTAACCAAATTAGTTAGGAAATTGAACAATGTATGTATACATTTATAAACACAAATCATTCAGCATTTAATGTAAAAGTTTGCCCAAAACATTAAATTCTGTGAACAAAAATATATTTTCTTTCTTCTGTGAAGCACAAAAGATGTTTAGCAGATCTTTGCCAATGTCCAGAACTTTTTGTCCCAAAAATGAAATGGTTTTATTTCTAATTTTCTTTATTTAAAATTTTTGTTTTTAATTATTCATTAAAAAAAACTATGATATGAGAAAGGAACAACTTAGTTGGCCAACATACTCTACTCTAGTCAGGAGATCTGCTGTATAGGGGTCCCACAGGTCCAGCCACCAGCCTGTGGTCGAATGATACGAAGCGATCGCGAGCAGCGCTCCGTCCTGGGAAAAGTCACATGATGCCATGGTGCGCTCGTGGTCGTATGTAAGGTGTCTCATGAAGGTGTAGGACCGCAAGCTCCACAAATACACCTTCTGTTGGGAAGAAGACATTCAGACAATGTAACACAGTGTTATTATTTTATCTGCATACATGATATCCTGTTCCTGTTGCAGAAAGCAAAAGTCTCTCTGATTATATAACTAAACCCTTTATATAACTACTAGAAGACATCCTAGCAGAGTAACCACAGCTTCAGCACATTAACTACTGTATGAAAGTGTTCAAATACTCTTTGCCTTCATTTTGAACAGTTTAGCTATTACTATTATTTATTATACAAAAAAAAAACTTATTTGATACTTATTGAATAAAATCTTATTTGACATTTTGTTATTTAATGCAAACACATACAGTTTTAATTGTCCAAATGCTTTTGGGGCCACTGCAGCATTGTTGTTAATTGAAATAAAATGTAAAAAAATGTATGTGTGTGTGTGTGTGTGTATAAATATACAGTATATATATATATATATATATATAAAACAAAATGAGAAATGTTGCCTTGGCAACTAACTAAAATACAATAAAAAAAATTAAGTTTTAAAATTACTAAAGCAAAAAAAATTTAAAGCTACACTGAAATATTAAAACAAAACAATAACAAAAAAAATGACAAAAGCACATAGCAAAATCAATAAAATAAACGAAAATTAAAACTGAAAATATAAAAATAAAAGCTAATTCAATACATTAATTAATTAGGTATCAGCACATAAATAATACTAAAATAAGAAACTCACAGAGTCAAGGTTGCAAACAGAGGCGATCACACTGCTGTCAGGTGATATGGAACATCTGAAGACCCAGTAGTTTGGACCCCGCAGCACATGGGGACTGGCGCCTGCAAATATCAGCAATACAATCTTCATAAGTACAAAATTAAAGGTCATGAAAACTTACTTTCATCCCATTGCAAAGACACGTTGCTTCCACATCAGATGCTCTGACCTTTCTTCGCCAAGTCCCATATCCTTAAAGTTTTATCTCGGGAGGCCGATACAAGCGTGAGACTTCCATTTGGAGTGAAGACTAAATCCCTGACAGGAGCCTGATGTCCGGTTAGAGTAAACCGCAGATTTCCTGAAGACAGAATAGGGATTTACTAACATATTAAACCTAATACTACAAGTGCTTAACACCATGCTGTTAATATTTAGACCAATCTAAGTTCTTGATGGTGAAACTGAGTCCAGAGTTCAATCTTACCAGTTGAGACGTCCCACACTTGGATCACGCCGTTGTTCAGACCAATGGCCAGCAGTAGCTCATGATAATGTCCGTTCTGATGTGAAGCATCCACTCGGGTAGACAGGCAGGGACCAAACGCCAGTGCCCACACCGTCTGCCTGCAGTTAAGTGTCTTCTCTTCACTGCATACAGCTTCGGCACTACTGTTAATACAAAGAAGAACACAAGAAGTTTCAGCTGTGCTCTACATCCAAGTATGAGATGTTCCGGCTCAGCTTCCTTCATTGTTCCACATTACCCTACTGAATTAGTACATTAATTTACCATATGGTAAAGAATATAAGCTCAAAAACATTGTAATACCATAGTGCATTTTTGGATGGACTATAGTTACTTGGAATCAATCCTGTGGTACTTTTTATAAGGATTGTAGTAAAATAGTTTTGTCAATGAATTAATAAAATACTTTGATATATTAAAATAGTATTTTCAATCAATCAATCAAACAATAAAATACTTTGATATATACATTGTACTGTATATTTCTATATATAAACATCAGTGTTATTTTAGTATCATTGAGATTGTATTATTTGATTAATATGTGAAAGTTTTTATTTTTCCATTTTCATTTTAATTAAAGTTAATTAAGGTTTTAGGATTTTTTCTTGTGAGTTTATGTCATTTTATAAATGTGGTTGTGTGTGTGTGTGTGTGTGTGTGTGTGTGTACATATATATATATATATATATATATATAGTTCAGTCATGAAACTCTAGATGGCGCATTCTGGCGGGATGTTAACGTAACTGATGATATTCAGAGAGTTAAACGACTTGGCACAAGCTGATTGGTTCATGCTGCATATGCAGCCAATGAGCTTACTGCCTTGCATTTATATGGCTGGCTAGTCAGTATAATTTTTATATATTTTTTGGGAAAGAAATTATAGAAATTAATAATTTTATTTAGCAAGGATGCTTTATATTTATCAAAAATTATGATAAAGACATTTGCAATGTTACAAAAGATTTCTATTTCAGATAAATGCTGTTCTTCTGAATTTTCTATTAATCGAAGAAACCTGAAAAAATTATACTCAGCTGTTTTCAACATAATAATATTTTTTTTTTTTTTTCACTTTTTTAAACATTTCACAATATCACTGCTTTTGCTGTATTTTGGATCAAATAAACTCAGGCTTGATAAGCATAAAATAATTCTTCTGTTTAAAAACTTTTGACTGGTTGTATATATATATATATATATATGTTTAATGGTAAACCAGCCAACAAGGACTGGTTTCAGCTGTTTTTTCAGCTGTGATATTATTATTTTTTTTTTTTTGTTATTATTATTTTTTACAGTTTGAATGTTCTCCCATAGTAGTAATTTATTGTGGTGTTGATATAAGCCTATATTTATTAAACCATTGTGTTATGTTCTGAACATAGACGCACTCTTCGGATGTCAGCGGCCAGGAGAGCAGTTTGACGATGCCGTATCCCATCGACCAGGCAAAAGAAGATCCGTCCGGGGAGAAGCGGACGCTCCATGTCTCGCAGCCGGCGGAGCCGTACAGACGCGGGGGATGAGCGGGTTTCAGCTCCGCGATCAGATCATGCGGTTCTGTCACAATTAACGAGACCTGTCATTTACAAAAACAAATGCGCATATCCGGAACTACTCCTAGCCTACAAATATAAAAACGTCCTCTTACACCAAATGTATATGCTTATATATCATTTAAGGTGGTGAATCAACTTACCTTTGACAGTGCAACCGAACGAAGTGCACATCATCTTACCACTGAAATCATGTATGCATCATTTCACCTCTCCTCTGCATTCATTTCACTAGGGGGCGTGGCCAGATGGGCAAACCACGTGACACCGTCGTCGAGTGTGTATCATAAAGGGACTTTGGTATCATTCTCAGTACAGTACATACTTGGGTGTGTCTACTGTATATTTACAGTGTTAAGGTGTGTTTTATACTTATGTCATTCACATCTCAGGTATCGTGATTTTACAGCTTTGAATACATTTTATTTTACAATGTCATTTAAAGCTAGTTTACTCTAAGTTTTTTTTTTTTTTTTATGTGGCCAGGAGTGGCCGTGGCCACCACTGACCTAAGCTTGGCCACCCCACTCACAACTGCAGTTTTTGTGTCTTTATTTCTTGACAAGAAATGCAAACTTTCCTGTCCTGTCAGGCGTTTTGCTGTGCTCACTGCGCACACTCTTCAACTGTACGCGAATAGCTGCAAAACTGTGCAAGCATGTATGTATGCATCATTTACGTCTCTCAAACGCATGTACTAAAATATTCTGCAATTCGAGATCACAATAAAGGCGCAAGCTGATATCTATTTTTTTTTTATTTGTAATTTAATGCACAATTAAATGTGAGCACAGTGCACTTGTACTAGGAAATATGCACTAATTTTTGGTTAATTTGTAAAGTACGAAAATGAAACTATAGGTTATTTAAATGCAGAAAATAAATAACGTTACATTCTGGCATTTATGTGCTGTTGACTTCCGCCCTTTTTCACATTCTTGCACATGGGGATTCAAAAGAGAACTTTTTTCCCCCTTTGTACGGAGTTCAATTTAGGTATGATAGAACTGTTGCAGTTAATTTATTTTGACAACTAATCGAATGTTAAACATTCACTGTTTACTTTTTCAAAGTTAATTGATTCAGTGAAGGTTGACTAAACTTTGAACTAGTTATCTGCATGTTTCATCCATGAGTATGCAATGATGGAGAACAAGCCTTTGGTGGTGCTGAGAACCAGAACCAAGCTGACTAAGCATTAAGCCCGTTTATTAAAATACCTGGAGATGAGGAATAATACAATCATTGTCATGTTCACTCAGTATTACTTGATCTAATTCACATCTCAATTACAATCGAGTACAAATTCATTGTATTCAGTTGTGTTTTAGGCACTAAAACAGTCCAGTTTTATAGTCAACACATTTTTATATTGAAATAATGAAGATTTCTGTGCCACCCCTATGAAAACATCCTGGCTCCACTACTGGTTTTATATATTAGGCCTACTGAAACTTTATATCGACATAATTTAAGCAGACCCCCTAATTCTCATTATTAAAAATATCTACTTTTTAATTATGTAATGCCAAAAATTACGATATTATTAACATTTTATTTATACACAATGTTAGTATTTGTTGTAATGCCTTCAATTTAGGCTTAAATTTTAAGCTATATATATATATATATATATACAGTGGGTACGGAAAGTATTCAGACCCCCTTAAATTTTTCACTCTTTGTTACATGTGATATTTCAGTTTTTCTTTTTTAATAAATCTGCAAAAATGTCAACGATTCTGTGTTTTTCTGTCAGTATGGGGTGCTGTGTGTACATTAATGAGGAAAAAAAATTAACTTAAATGATTTTAGCAAATGGCTGCAATATAACAAAGAGTGAAAAATTTAAGGGGGTCTGAATACTTTCCGTACCCACTGTATATATGATCTCATTACTGTATTACAATCTGAAAAGAAATCACCATTGAGAAAATGAGAATTTAAAAACACAAGTTAGTAAAATGTCTGGATGTTTTACAGTAATGAGAATTGAAAGGAAATCTACTTAATTGTCATGAAAATAAATTAACAATGCAGAGAAATTGCAATGGTACAAAATAGGCCTCCCTTAAGTTTATTATTATTGTTGTTGTTATTATTTAGCCAATATGAGCCAGATATATTTTGTTGAAATTCACCCATACATTTTTACAGAAAGCATTATTCAAACCAGTTCAAGTAACAATAACATTTCATAACACAGTATGGAGTAGTAAAAGTTTTAATTGATGCGAGGCCAGTATATTAAAACCTAATACTGAAAATAAAAACGGGTCCTCTCTAAAATAAGTTTAAGATCTTTACACTTTACACAGATTGCTGGAATATTATACAAGGATAATATCAAACAAAAACAAACAAATAATTTAGCAGAGTTGACCATTTTGAAGAATTAATTTTCTGTACATTTAAACTGATAACTAGCTGTCTGCTGACTGTTGTACTTATTCTGGATGTGTTTGATCGTTGTGTTGATTGGTACTGTCTGCCTTATCTTCATGATCACCTGTAAAATATACACACACGTTTCAGCATATCCAAAAGTACAAAAAAAAAACACAATTCATCATCATTCTCTCATATTTCCAGGCTTTTCAACTGAATAACAAAATAGTCATTTCTCAAACTTGCCTTGCTTATATTTGCTCAAGTCTTGTTTAAATTCTTCATTATGTAAGATTTCCCAGTTCCCAATTCTTTCAAAATAAACTCCTTTTGATATTATAACACAAACGTCTAAACAATATTCGGGAAACCGTTAACTTACTGGATGGTATTCTGTGAATCTCTACGAGTGTGGTTGCATGTCCGTTTGTCAGCAGAGGGAGTTGTGGAACAGTATGATGGAAAATTTCCTCTTCATCTGAGTCCACCAAACTCAGTATATCCCTTCTGTCATCATCTAAATGACTAGAAAGAAAATGTTACAAAGCCTTTACACATCCTTACCAGCACGTTATATGTACAAAGACAATAAACATATTTTGGAATAATGCTGACATATTACTATGATTATTAATGAGCTGTAATGTTTTGCGGTCATACTTACCTAAATCCTAAACCTGAAAAATAAAAATATACATTTATACAAAAAATCTTTATATAAAGTTTAATTTAGCAACTCAGTATGCAAAATACTTACCAATACAAATTCTATCCCGCTTTGAATATACTGTTACACCAACAGTGACTCCAATCATCATTATCAAAATGGAAACAAAGACACCAACTACGGCCCCTCCATTACCTGCAGAAGCTGAGAACAAAGATTAAACATAGTTATACTGTACACAGTCTGAAACTTCTTTTATTATAAAGGGGAGAAGTTCACGTGGCGGATGTTGTGTAATACTTCTGCAAAGGGAGAGGTATTACAGAGCAATATCAGAAACATCTTGTCTGATCACATTCATGCAGGTGTCATCATCACTAATATTTGAAGTATCTCCAGATCTGACCTCTGATGTATTTTTTAAAACATGCGTCTCATTCTTAAACAACTGAAATCATACGGTTTTACTGTGAATCTCACATATCCTGCCAAGAACTTAAGAAAAAAAGAAAAGAAAAAAATATTTTGCTTATAGTAAATAAAGCTTATTGTAAGGACTATTTAAGATACAACGTGACATTATTTTCATGACAGTTTTCCATGAAATTCTACCATATTGCAAATTGGATAATGTTCATATTTGTAAGGCAAATTATAATTGTACATATATTTCTAATATATACACTGAACAAAATTATAAACGCAACACTTTTGTTTTTGCCCCCATTTTTCATGAGCTGAACTCAAAGATCTACGACTTTTTCTATGTACACAAAAGGCCTATTTCTCTCAAATATTGTTCACAAATCTGTCTAAATCTGTGTTAGTGAGCACTTCTCCTTTGCCGAGATAATCCATCCACCTCACAGGTGTGGCATATCAAGATGCTGATTAGACGGCATGATTATTGCACAGGTGTGCCTTAGGCTGGCCACAATAAAAGGCCACTCTAAAATGTTTATAATTTTGTTCAGTGTATATACATACATATATATATATATATATATAAAAAATTTAAAGTATACACAAATAAATATAATAAATGCTATTTAAAACTATTTATTACTGTCCTGTCATGAAAATAGTGCAACGGTGCAAAAAATATGAATGGTCTAAAAATAGGTTTAATTTTCTTTATCCTTTATTCATTTTATTTTGAATTTGAGTTCAAATGTGATCTGGACATGTTTTAACTTGGGATATAAGAATTCTTGTTATATAAAAAAAAAATCAGTATGAACTTACTCTTCACAGTTAGAAACACTTCCAGCGCTCTTGCATCAAGAGGGTTTTCACTGTAGCAGTAGTAGGCCCCTTCATCTTCCTTTGTTACATTGATTATAATGAGTTTGTAGTGGAGTTTATTATCAGACACAATATATTTGGAGGTGGTGTTGATGATTTTGTTGTCCTTTTGTTTCCAGACAGTCTTAGCTGGTGGCAGAGAGTCGGTCTCAGTACAGCTGAGGGTGATATTACTGCCCTCCAGAGCGGTTACCAAGGGATCTCCTAATGGATACGGCCTCTCTGGAAGACACATAAAATATAATGGTTTCAATTTAGCCAGAGAAAAAATGCAAGCTGAAATATTCTGGGAAGGTTTAAAGATCAAAACTCTTTAGTAACAACAAACAGAATTGTATATATAATGGCTGATTTTAAAGAAGATTTTTTTGGACACACACATAACCCTGGCACAAACTCTCAACATTGGTTAAGGTGGCCCACTCAAAAACAAAAATGTAATTTGTGCTTTAAGCATTTCAAATTTAAACAAAAACTCGGCTGATAGTGTAGATTACACAAATGTGATTAGAAAAAACAATGGGGTCGGTAAGATTTTTATAATGTTTTTGAAAGTAGTCTTTTATGCTCACCAAGGCTGCCTTGATTTGATCAAAAATACAGCAAAAACAGAAATATTGTAAAACATTATTACAGTTTAAATTACCTTTATTCCATTTGAATATATTTTAAAATGCAATTTATTCCTGTGATGACAAATCTGAATTTTCAGCATCATTACTCCAGTTTTCAGTGTCACATGATCCTCCAGAAATCATTCTAATATGCTGATTTGCTGCTCAAGAAACATTTGTTATCATCAGTGATGAAAAAAATTGTGCTGCCTAATATATTTTTGTGGAAACTGTGAAGACTAAGGATTATTTGATGAATAAAAGGTATTAAAAAAGCATTCATTTAAAAAATACATTTTTGATCACTTACAAACATCTTTACTGTTACTCTTGTTCAATTTAATGTTTTCTTGATTAATTAAATTATTAATTCATTATTTAAAAAAAAAAAAAAAACATACACTGAGAAAGGTAAAATAACACCGTAGGTAAATCTCGTGAAAACATGTCTGTGTCACATTTTGCCTATAATCAAAAGGAAAACAATTAATGAATCATATTTTAAATAAAGTTTTCAGGACTATTCTTTTTATTTTCAGTGATAGTTCTCAATACTGTAAAAAAAATAGTCTTACTGAGCTCAAAGGAGCAGGCTTTCTCCACACCAGTCACATGATGTCCGATACACTTCACTTCCTTTACATTGTGCAATATAAACCTATTCACATGGACCTCCAACCGTTCTGTCTCCTGAGACGTGGAGTTGATCGTGGGACCCTTGGCTATAACATTTTCTTCAAGGACCTCGTGCCAGTCCAGAGTGGGCACAGGGTAACCTCCACACCAGCTACATATGAACAAGAAATCGAATGGCTCATTTACTATCACCCAACTGCACTCCGGATGCCTCTCTGGAGCATCTGAAAAGGGCATTAGAGACAATTAAACAATTAAAGCCTATACATCACAGATCTACCAAACAAAACCAAATCTACACAGACAATGACTCTTGGAAATATTTTTTTCATTTTCAAAGTAAACTGAAAGAACCAAATATAACAAAAACTAACTCCAGTCGATGCAAAGAACCACTTATGAGTGTACATTTCCAATACTTTTTGAAAAACTATGAAAACATCTGTCTTACAGTAAACTAGTAGCTCCTGGCTCTTGTTCACAGTTGTCTTGGAGAGTGTATTCTGGGATGTACAGGTGTATATCCCTTGATCGCTTGGTTGGATGTTTCTTATGGAGAACTCAATGAACGATTTGTTCCCAGACGCCCTGTCATAACCGTCCAGCGCCAAATCTTCAACAGTCCATGTCAAGTTTTGAGAGGGAAAAGACTCACTGGAGCAGTTAAAATACACATATGAACCTTTTGTGACATATAATGTTCCATTCTGTAGGAGAGTTGCTGGTTTTATAGCCAGTGAGATGCTAGTTGGACCCTCTGAAATAATACAAATGCACAAACATAAATAATTATTCATTCCACTCTCACAAACCACCTGTCATTTCAATTATCATCAAAAATGTTTCTTTAGAACTTCAGAATTAATGAACAGCAGCGGTTATTAAAATATTACATATCAACTGAGCATTTTAAATTTCAATAACACATATACACTGCTGTTCAAAAGGTTGGGATCAGTATGATTTTTTAAAATGTTTTTGAAAGAAGTCTCATATTCATCAAGGCTGCATTTATTTGATCAAATGCAGTAAAAATATTAGTGTAATATTAATACAATTTTAAATAGCTAATCTAATTTAATATATTTTAAAATGTAATTTATTCCTGTTATGCAAAACTGAATTTTCAGCATCATTACTCCAGTCTTCAGTGTCACATGATCCTTCAGAAATCATTCTAATATGCTGACTTGCTGTGCCTGCTTTTTATTTTTATGGTAAATGTGATACATTTTATTCTTTGATGAACAGAAAGTTTTAAAAAAAATGATTTTTTGCAACACTTATAAATGTCTTTACTATCACTTTAGGTCAATTTAAAGAATCCTTGCTGAATAAAAATATTAATTTCTTTCAAAAAGTCTAACTGACCCCAAATTTTGAACATTTTTAAAAGTTTCAGAGGAACTAAACTAAGATTTCTTTTTGTGTTCAGTTAGTTGTTATATGTGGTAGTTAACCTATGCATCTCAGTCACATGGTGGTGGTTTTCTAGGTTCATGCATTGCAGTTAAACCAGTAAAACCTGTTTGAAGTCAGACTCCCGATCTCACAGAATCTGGAGACATCTATTGCATATCAAAGCTTTCCATTGTCACATTAGTACGATTTAGATATCCATAGCACCATACCAGCAACCCGAAGCAGGATGTTTGAGAGAGTTTGCCATGAGCTGCCATCCTTTGTTTGGGATTCACATTCATACTGGCCTTCATCTGTAGACTGAAGGCTACTTATCCAAAGAGAGCCATTGTTTGAAATGGAAAGATGCTCTGATGGCTTCAAGGGGTTTGCAACAACAGTCCCACTTTTCTTCCAACGATAAAGAAGTGAAGACGCATTAACTGGCTGGTCAAGACACTGTAGTACAGCATTCTCACCCTTCTCTCTAATAACATAGCGCTGCACCTGCTCCTCTGACACTACAGGAAGAAGCACAGAGAAAACGTGGTTTAAAGCAGTGCTGTTATCACTTACAAATATGCGGCAAAAGTATTATAGTAAATTACTTTGTAGTGTAAAATTTTAAAAATATTTATAAAATACATAAGAGTATATCAGCATAATATTTCTTATAAAAGTGAAACCAGAATAGATTTTCCTGTCAACCCACCTGCCTGATGTGACAGAAGAAGCAGATACAGAACTATTGCAGATATGATCATTGTAGGATTGTCAGGAAATCCCATCAGATTATGGGATAAAATATTTTCTTTTGCAAATTCGATGGAGGTTTCCCGGCAAAGGCATCAAACCCTTTTCTATGAATTAAAAAAAATAAATAAATAACCAGAAATGATTAAGATAAAATCGCGACCGTTCTAAAATCGCTTTGGGCTTCGAATCCTGTATATTTTGTGTCACGTTTGATCCTCAACCTGTTTACTTGCTTTCTTTCCCGGAAACTTTAAAATTGCAGTTTGACCACACCCTTCACCTGCGCTCTTAAAGAGACACACACCACATTTAACTCACGCACGCACGCTGCTCTGAGTCGAATCTGGCAGGTAGGACTGGGGGCCTCCTCGGCCTGTTCAGACCTGTATTTCACTATGCCCAGTGGTCCTCTGTACTCTGTATTGTGGCACATTATCCCTGAAAGCATCCCAATCCAATATCCATGACTTACTATGGAAATACATACTTTACTTATAACATACTTTTTTACATACAGTACATAAATGCACATATCTGTACATAAACCTACTGATCTGGATGTATATCACTTTATTTTATTGTTATTATTTATTTATTTATTCATTCATTTATTATATTATTTTATTTGAGTTATTGTTGCAGATGGAATTGACCTAAAGGGTTTCATGAGATGTAACGGTATTTTTGCTACCGTTTTCAATTATTTCATTTAATTTCGTTTCAATTCTTCTTTTTTCTTATTTGCACAGATACAAAATAATAACAAATAAATAAATACTATGTATATCAAGTAGTTTTATGCATTAAAATATGGTACACGTGGGCAAAATGTAACTTAAATAATAATTAATGTGAACATAACGTAATAAACATATGAATGACTGTATTTTATTGTGGCTAATATTTGTAATGATATTTTTAATTTGATAAAATAATAATAACAATTATGTTATATTCGATTTAAGTAATAAACATATGAATGACTGTATTTTATTGTGGCTAATATTTGTAATGATATTCTTAATTTGATAAAATAATAATAACAATTATGTTATATTCGATTTATAATTATTTTTACATCATTTGTCCATTTGTTTTTTCGTATGTGGGAAACTAAAGGCAAATGTGTCCACGCTAACGGATAAAAAAAGTATCTAGTATTTATTGTTTTTATTTTATGTTATATGTTATGTTTTAGTATTAGCTAACGCGTCTAGTCTGTTCATATATTATGTTACGTTCATTGTTTTTTATTATATGCTAATATTTAGTATTAGCTAACCTGTCTCGTCTGTTCATATGAAGGCGTTCCATTCTCAGTAGGAACTTTCTTATCCACTAGAGGGCGCTAAAGCTTTACATTTCTGACGTTTCTAGTGTGCGACACTATTTTGGTTCCCCCGCTTTGGGTGCCGGTGAAAATCAGTCCTACACATTTCCAATATGTCAGGTCGTAAGAAGCCGCGAGCTGTAGCAAATCCTCTGGACTCGACCATTACATCTCCGAGTGAGAGAATACTGAAAGAATGCCACACTTTATATATCGACAACGGCAACGGTAAATAACGGGTACCATTCGTATGTAAACACATGTTGCGGTTGTGTCTTTATGGTCTCTAAAACATTATGAAACATTGTAAGATAAAAATCAGCTTGAAAGTTCAAACACCAATAATGCTGTTAGTTATATTTATACTAGTCGCTCATTCAGAAGTTGTGTTATTGACTGTGACTACAAACTTAGCAAGAAGCCTATGATATGGCAACATGACTATGTAGGCAGCTCAGGGATTTGAGACACGGTCTTGTTGACCAGTTGGCTCTGCATGTCACACTACTGTAGTCTATGGGTCAGTACAGAATATATATACAGTAATAGTACAGTATATGTAAACCCACGATTATACAATATCTTCAAGTTCATCTAAACTGAAAGGTCTTTTACAGGGTAGCAACACAATATTTACAGTATATACAGGTGCAAACTGCACGTGTGTATGCACATTTACTGTATAAATCAGTACTCTGAATTGTTGCTGGAAAGCAATAAGGCATCATGTACTGATAATAAAGCTCCATTTGTCTGGATGTTTTTAACAGGATTGGTGAAAATTGCAGAGAGTTTGGGAGTGAGGCTGTTACCTCCTCGGAAAAAGATTATAGTTATGATTATGGGGAACCATTCTGCTGGAAAAAGCTCCTTCATTAACTGGTAATCACACTTCTCACTTCAAAAACACCTTGTATCCCTAAATGATTTCATAGCGTGAGATCTGGAGATGAAGATTATACAGATACAGATTTACACACATTTTTAAGGAGAATGACATTTTCTTTTCCCTAAATTTTGTTTTTATATACCAACATCATGTCACATTATATTGTGGTTCTTATCCTTTTTGACTCCTAGGCCCTGTGTTATGATTATAAATTTGAAGGATTATGAATAAGGATAAGGATTTTAAAAAATATATTTTACTTACAGTTTCTGCCTGATAAAACAGAGATTGACGTAGCTAAAAAAAAAAGTACATTCATTATTAAAATGTCCATTCCATGGTAAGGTTTTATTAATTTACATGATTTTTCCAGGTCTAGAAATCATAAAATTAATGAAAATGAAAATCATTTTAAGTCATTTTGAAGCCACCAGTTACAAACCACTGCATTCGACCTTCCATATAGTTCCTAAAAACTGTTTAAAAAAAATAGTATGGATGAATATGGGTATAAAAATATGCTAAATTAAATCTATATTTCAGGTATGTGGAGGAGCACATACAGAAGACAGGTGTTGCCATTGAGACACAAGGCTTCACATTTATAACTAGTGGCAGAAAACGAGAGTCACTAACAGTAAGTACATTTTTGTGCACAACAGAAAGCATATTATTGCGAGAAAGCTGCTTAAGGCGCACAGTTTACACTCTTATCTCCTGTATTTGGTGCAAGGGAAATGGTTTTTATATTTGATTGTGTTGGTACATTGATTACATTTTTAGTGTGCAGAGTACAGTACAAAAACACATGAACAGAGATGCCAAGAATAAACACTGATCATTGGATTTGATCCAACCAGGTTCTAGAATAAATTTGACAGAATTCAAGTTAGTACAGTCCCTGCTATATCTAACATTCATGGACATTTATATACATTTAATGCACAATCCATTTCCGTATACCAGCAGAGGCCTGCAGATAAAGCATATATACAGAGGTATGTGAAGATGAATAGTGTATTCATGTGTTTTTGTATTTACTGCCGTTATTTTGCCTTACTTGTGGTCATAAATATGGTGGATGAGCGGAAAAGTCATGTGACTGAAACAGATGAGTAGTGAAAGTGCATTTGTGAGTGCTGTTAATTATGGGGTGATTAATAATAATGACTCATGGGTCACATGTTGACCAGTGGGGGTCTTCTCGGGGTGCCGTTCAATAAAACCAAGCTGCAAAGAGATCAATCAACTGAAAACACATTTGTAGCGAATCAGCTCATGGGGAAATATGAATAATTAATCATAACTAGTTATAATTAATTATAAATATTTAGATCCGCTGTAGATATAAATTGTGTGTTTGATTGGTCCAGACGCTACACATTAGCTGAACCTGTTTTAATGAATTTCCGAAACAACCCTTATTTGAACCTTTTCCTGATCTCAGGATGGCTGTGAACACCAGCTTTAGTATTTATGCAGAGACATAACTTTTAAAGAAGTATATGTGACCCTGGACCACAAAACCAGTCTTAAGTCGCTGGGGTATATTTTTAGCAATAGCCAAAAAAACATTGCATGGGTCAAAATGATAGATTTTTCTTTTATGCCAAAAATCATTAGGATATTAAGTAAAGATCATGTTCCATGAAGATAGTTTGTAAATTTCCTACCGTAAATATATCAAAACTTAATTTTTGATTAGTAATATGCATTGCTAAGAACTTCATTTGGACAACTTTAAAGGCGATTTTTTTGCACCCTCAGATTCCAGATATTCCAATAGTTGTATCTCGGCCAAATATTGTCCTCTCCTAACAAACCATACATCAAAGGAAAGCTTATTTATTCAGATTTCAGATGATGTATAAATCTCAATTTCGAGAAATTGACCCTTATGACTGGTTTTGTGGTCCAGGGTCACATATGTATATGAAGTATATGAACTGTTTGTTTGCTTTTAGCTACCAGTAAGAATGCTATAGGCTCCGATTCACTTAATACTTTTTTCTGTTTAAACCCATTCCACAGAATTCTCCATGTTTTCCTCTAAAATCAGAGCAGAATGTGAATGTGGAAAAAAAAAGTGAAAAAATGACATAACCCAATCCTGTTCCGTGCACTTTTCTCCACATTATTTCCTGTTCTCACTCAACTTTCCTCTCTAATGGCACAAGTCCAGAAAAAATGTACTTGTGAGCAGATACAGATGGAATCTCTGGAATTTTTTCTGCTTATTGAGGAGGAAATTCTTCAGAAGGAATTTAAATAGAGTAAAATTTTAAATACGGTTTGGATTAAGACAACATAAGTTAGATCTACAGAAATGAGAGCGAGCAAAAATATCTTTAATATGTTTAATAGACAGCAATTCTATTAAATAGAGAGGAAAATATAGACAGTTTTTTACATTGTTTTCACAAGTTCTTCTAAGAAAAAAAAAAGAGTAATCTTACTTATACTACCATTCAAACCTTTAGGGTGTGAAAGTTTTCTGTTTTTTTTTTATTTTATTTTTTTATTTTATTAATTGATACTTTTTCTCAGCAATAATGCATTAAATTGATCAAAAGTGACAGAAAAGACTTTCACGTTGTGAAAATATGAAAATATGTATTTCAAGTAAATGCTGTTCTTTATAACTTTCTATTCTTCAAAGAATTCTTAAAAGCAAAATCCATCGTAGTTTCTGCAAAAATGTTATGTAGCACATCATTATAAAAAATATATTCAAATAGAAAACTGTTATTTTAAATAATAATATTTCGCAATATTACTGTTTGTATTGATTTTTTAAGTAAATAAATGCAGCCTTAGTGGGCTGCATTAAATAGTAATAATATTTCACAATATTACTTTGTTTATTACTGAATTTTGGAGGAAATAAATGCAGCCTTGGTGAGCAGAAGAGATTCTTCCAAAAAAAAAAAAGTTTCAGAAGGTCAGAAAATGTCAAAAATCCAAAGATTTCAATATGAATTCAAGCATTTATCATTAAGTTCTCATTAAAGGGCAAATTGTCTGAGATATGTCTACATGCAGAATGCAAAAAGGCATGCAAAAGTATTTAAGAGGAAATGCTTTGGCCAAAAGACAAACAGGATAAAAACGACTGTGTTTTTCCTTAAGAGAGCGAGAGGGAAAATCGTACATGTGTGCATGTGGCGAAAGAGTAGACCATATCACATCTTAGTCAGTCGCTCCTTCTGGAAGCAGAGGGGTTGTCTTAAAGACACAGCGTCTTTTTTCCTTAGCATATAAAGCTCTTCCCCTTCCTTCTCTGGCTCTGTAAAGACCTCAACATGAGTAATGTAATTACGGTGAAAGAGTGATATGAAAGGATTATCAGCTCTTTACAGGAAGAGCCTACCAGCAGAACAGGAAGAGAGCTGCAGCGTGGCCGAGAGTGTCACACCATCACCCAGCCTGCAGAAAGAGAGAGAGAAAGCGAGAGCGAGAGGAAGAGCAGGGAGTCTCCCTACAGCAGGGCCTGGCTTCTGACTTCACACCACATTCTCCTCTTTAAATATGTCTTATCTTTCCTTCATCAACATGTTTGCTTCTTTTCCTCACAGGGAAATGCAACATTACACCTCTACCCGCATTTCAGACCTCTGCTGGAGTTCAAAGGTAGGAAATTTCAATCTAAGATTTCAATCTATATGTATTTACGTATATTTACACACATATATATATAAATATATATTTATATTTAGGGTTGATCAGCATGTTATAGATGTTATGATTTACACATAAACAGCCAACCCCTTTAAATATTTGTAGTTTTTAGTGCAATTTTCCTCATTTATTGCTTAGAAATTAGTCTTAGGTTGAGGAAAATGTGTAGTCGAGGCAGGAGCATCTACAGCTATGACTAACACCTCACACTGAGTCATGTAAGCGTATGTACGTCCAGCGCAGTATCCGCCTGAGAGCGCGAAACATAGCAACACATCTCATTCACATGCACCTCGATAAACTCCTTTTGGCTCTGCTGACTTAATGCTTTTCGCTGTGTATTTATGTAACCGTTAAAACCGAGAGTCCAGCTGATGTTACAGCTTGGCTGAGTCTGAGTGATGGGACCTCGTTGGTTTAGGTGAGTGATCTTTGGGTGTGTCAGAGGGCATCATCACCGCACACTGATTGTGCAGTATTCCTTCAGTGGACAGTGTGGGTTCACCCGGTGCAGAGAACCAGAATGAGTCATTCACATTGACAACAATGCAGCATCAGTGGGATAGACAGAGAAATGTCTTCCCACATTACTGCTACAGAGAACATACGATTGATAGTCAGCAATAGGCATAAATATGAAATGAAAATGGCGTTTTGTACAGCCATTGCATATTACGTGCTTCAAGTCCAAAGTCCAAACCTGACATAATTATTAGATGCATGTAAAACATGCATGCAACCTTTTATTTTTAAGTATAAACCACCATTCATTTTCTGGTTATTGTTGTCAATATGAATCTCGCATTGTTTAGTCAAATTTATGAGCATGAATGTGTTGCAAATGTTTTTATGGTCCTGGGAACTTCTATGAGGTGTCGCATTGAAGGTTTTGCTTGGCTTCAAACATTTAAAACGTCTGTGTTGGTCATCAGGATGTGGGTGTGTGTAGGAAAGAATAGCGAGATTTGCGATTGGTGCATTGTTTGGGCGTGGTTTTGGCTGGTTTGTCTTATCTCAATAAGTTTGACACTATCATCATGACTCGGGTCTCTCCGCAGTGGTGCTGCTGTGCGGTTTGGAGATGACGCAGCACTTTCTTGACCTTTGACTTTTCCTCAGTGGACTAGATCCCTCTGTATCTCCTTCCACCTTTCGGCAGCAAAGTGAGACACGTTTCTCCAGTTACCTTTTCAGACTCAAAGATCCCTTAGTGATTATTGAGCCTATCAATACATCTGATTTTAATTACTGTACGAAGCACCTGTGGAATGAAAGTAACTACATGGGTACACTACCATTCAAAAGTTTATGGTCAGCAAGATTTTTTACAATTTATTATACACATTTCATCAAGGATGCCTTAAATTGAACAAAAGTGAAGACAGTAAAGACATATAATTTTACAGAAGATTTCTATTTTGCACCTTCAGTCCATCAAAGAATTCTGGAAAATAAAATGTATCATAGTTTCTACAAAAATATTAAAAGATCTGTTTTCAGTATTGATTAATAATAATAAAAAAAATGTATTGAGCACCAAATAAATATATTAGAATGATTTCTGAAGGATCATGTGGTACTGAAAATTCAGCTTTGCCTTCATACTGTAGGAATAAATTACATTTTAAAATGGAAATCAGTTATTTTAAATTGTAATAATATTTCACAATCTTACAGTATTTTAAATCAAGAATCCAGACTAGTTGTGCATAAGAAACATTCAAAAACGTTTAAAATATTTGCCGACCTCAAACTCTTGAACAGTAGTGTCTAGATCTTATGTAATCATAGGAAAGAAAAATCATACATTTTATCATCCACTTTCATTTTATAGAATTATTTTTCTTTTTTTAAATTAACCTAAAGAATTTTAGGAGAAACATTAAGTCTCTCTCTACGAAAGAGCAACCTATGAGCAATAATGTTTCAAATCGGAGTATTTTCTGAAGTGAGAAAGAGAGAGTGGTTAAGAGATAGAGATCGAGATGGACAGACAGATTTGAGGGTATGTTGGTGCACCTTTGTTGAATGCTGATGAGACCGAACAAGACGGGTTTGTGTGAGATCTTGCACACCTGCAGTCACTATCTGAAAGAGCTTCAGTGTCAACCGCAGATGTGAAGGCAGCAGAAACATTTGACATATAGTTACTATGGAAATTCAAGGTGTGATATTACTTTTCTAAACAATCTAACTTGTGATTTTCACCTGGCGGATGATAAAAAACTGAATATTTGACTACGAAACCACCCAAAAAAATCTTAGCAATTGCGTATCATCATTCAGAACCTGTAAGCAGCCATAAAGCAGACATTGTGGCGATGACTTTTGCACAATGAAACACCAATCTTTAGAAAATGTAGTTTTATATTATTTACGTGCTTTCAAAACTCTTAGCGTGTGAATATTGGCTGGCTGGCGTTGCTTCACAGTCGTTCTTCACTGGCTAGCTTTATGTGGCTCCATTTTAAAGCTGCCAGTTGAAGAGCTGTTGTGGGTAACCATAACAACAGACCACCAGAGGGGGCGTGGTCCAGAAAACTGGACGAGTCAATCAGAATTCATGAACATGTTTTATTTATGGATATTTCCCCCCTAGAATTTTAGTTTTGAAACAGTAGATTGTTACTCATAAAATCCACATGATTAACCAGCACAGTTTTATAAATGCCTGCAGTTGTATATTGTAGGTGTCACAGATTACCTGAACGCTGAGATTTCCACCTCCAAACAGAAGAAATTCAACCTGGTGACGTTTGTGGACACTCCAGGGTTGGTGGATGGAGATATGGTGTACCCTTTTGATGTCAACAGTGCCATCACCTCTTTTGGTAAGGCTGTGCCTCATCATTTTGGACAGTTATAGCTCCTATAGCAGTGGTTTTCAACCCTGTTCCTCGAACGCCCCAAGCAGTGCACATTTTGCATGTCTCCTTAATCAAACATACCCGATTCAGGTCATCAGCTCATTAGTAGAGACTCCAAGACCTGAAATAGATGTGTGAGAGAAAGGAGACTTTCAAAATGTGTAGTGTTCGGGGGCTAGTGACTAGGCTGGTTCTCTGAGATTTTATGTATTAAATTTGTATTTTGAATAAACCTATCTTCTGATGCTGATTTCAAAATGGATTTTCTGGGTTGTTTCACTCTTCAGCCATTTTCTCTGATAAGGCGAACTTCACATTTTTGAATTTTAGTTAATGTGCTGTATGTTAGCTTTGTGTACCAGTGTTGATACTGGTAACTAAAACTATTAAAAATGTGTCTTTGTTAATGAAATTAATCTAAAATAAAATTGAAATATTAGATTAACTCAACGAAATTAAATACGTTTAAGTACTAAAAATAAAGTAAAAGAAAATATGAAAATATAAGAATAAAAGCTAATTCAAAATATTAATAAATACTGTAGTAGTATGTAAATAATACTACATTAACATTGTATATTTATAAAATTTGACAAAAAACAATAAGATAATTTAAAATGGTCTTTCTTGTCAGAGACAGTGGACCAAAAAAATACTGATGACTCAATTTGTAACAAGTAGCAAATCTCGGATCAAGGCTTGTGACGTAAATTAAAGGCTATTTTCTATTTTAAAAAAGACGAGCCCTTCAATACGCCCCAACCCAACTTTCTGCTTATCAACACAGGAATGAAATATGTGTTTTTTCAAACCATTTAAAATGATCTTTCTAAACTAATGAGACAAAATGGACAAATTTCAGTACCAGGAATAAAGTTTGACTTGACCTAAATTAAACCACACAACTGTTACAGTAACAGTTCTTCTCATTTTACATATCTGTGGATTTTCAGGTGAGCAGGCAGACCTCATCTTTGTGTTTTTTGACCCGATGGGACAAGCGTTGTGCAAGCGCACATTGAACATTGTTGAGAAGCTGAGTGAAAAGTGTGGAGACAAACTGCGCTTTTACCTGAGCAAAGCTGATGAGGCTGGACGGGAAACGGACAGACAGGTGCGTGAGTGTGTGTGTGTGTGTGTGTGTGTGTGTGAGCCTTCTGATATATCTGATACATTTCTGTCTGGAATAAAAATGCATAACGGGACTTACACATTTGATATGGTGATTTCCAATCTCACTTCAGTATGTAATCCTGATCTTTTTGCCATAATAGTTTGTTCTCTGACAGGAAGCCAGACAGGTGTTTCTCTGTCACTTTAAACCTGCTTAGCATCAGCCCATCTTATGGTCAAATGTGTTGGTGTTGATTTTATTCCCACAGCGAGTGATGATGCAGATTGTTCAGGAGCTGTGCAGAAGACCTGGACTCAACAAATGTGGCTTTGAAATGCCCACGATATACATCCCCAACCCTCAAAAAGTAAGAAATGATGGTAACTGATTGCTGTGCTGGTCAAATGTCCATGGTTTTCCTCCTAGAGGTGACATGATTAATGGAAGCCTGCCCATGCTGCACTGCTGTGTCAGAGGAAATGGATTTATTTCTCTCTGCAGCATTTACATTAATTAGTTCTGTCTGTCAGCAGAGACACATCTCTTAAAAAGCCAACTTAAAGCTACAAGGAGAAATGGATTGAACGTATCAAGACATAAACGATTATTTCAGGCTGCTTATGATACACTACCGTTCAAAAGTTTGGGGTCAGTCAGCTTTTTTTTTTTTTTACTTTTATACTATTATTTTTATGGTAAATCTTTACAATAAGGTTCATTAGTTAACATTAGTTAACTACTTTAGTTAACATGAACTAAGCATGAACAATATGTCTACAGCATTTATTAATCTTAGTTAATGTTAATTTCAACACTTACTAATGCATTATTCAAATCAAAAGTTGTGCTTGTTAGCTTTAGTTAATGCACTATGAATTAACATGAGCTAACAATGAACGACTGTTTTTTTCATTAACTAGCATTAACAAAGATTAATAAATACTGTAATAAATGTATTGTTCATTGTTTGTTCATGTTAGTTAATACATTAACTAACATTAACTAATGGAACCTTATTGTAAAGTGTTAACATTTTTATTTTATATTTTATTTAGCAGGAACACATTAAATTGGTATAGATGTTTATAATGCTTTTGAACGTTCTACGCATCAAAAAATGTTGGTTTCCACCAAAATGTTTTCAACATTGTATATTAGTAAGAAATGTTACTTGAGCAGCAAATCTGCATTTTTCATCTGCTGAAAATGCAGCTTTGCCATCACAGAAATCAATTATATTTAAAAAGCAAAATCAATCAAAATACAAAAAAATTATTTTGAACTGTAAAAATGTTTCACAATAAAACTATTTGTACTGTATTTTTGATCAACTAAATGCAGCCTTGGTGAGCATAAGAGACTTCTTTTAGAAACATTAAAAAAATCTTGCTGATTTCAAACTTTTGAATGGTAGTGTATATTTGGTCAGTAATATTAGTCAGTTTACCTGACAATTGACAGAATTACTGTAATTACAAAATAACTGATATTCTGCTCTGAGCTGTTCACATCCTTAAAATTAGTTTCAATGGCAATGCTCTTAATGCCAAAATGCATTCATATTATGCGGCTTTGTTGGTAATGACAGTAAAATACTTCTTCATTCCATTAGTCCACCTTTTGCAAAATGTAAACTGTAAACAACTTGCAGTTATGCTAAGTAGCTGTATTACTGTATCACTTTTGATTGTTTGTTTTGAATTGTAAAATTGGTAAAATTGTACAGCTGCTTATGGCTTATTGCTTTACTTTGCTATTGCATATAACAGTACTACTACAGATAGTTGATCAAGTAAATATAAAATGATTAAAATAGTGATTTTGTGTGTGCAGCCCAGCAGATGCATCAACCAGATTGATGAGGTTTGTGAGACCATTGAGAAGAGCATAAACCAGGCAGTGCAGAAAACACTTGACCAGCTGGAGAAAGACTGTAACCTGATCATCTCTACCATCAACCATACTCTAGAACAGGACCGGTACACATCCATCCATCCGCACTATATCACATCATCTGCTATGTATCATGACTCTAGAGCTCATATATGTAATATTTATCAGTTTTGCATGTATTTGTCTTCCCTCAGGATGAATGTGAGCAGTAATAGAAGCAATCGTTTTAATTCCTTCCTGTGTGGAGTTCTGGGAATCTTCCTTCCGTCACTCTTCATCCTCAGCTTCATCATCAGCACTTTCGCTCCAGAGGAACTGGACACTCTTGTTGGAGAGGGATTGGCTAAAACGCTCAACCTTTCCACAGTATGTTCTCATTTTCATGTTTACTGAAGACTCATTCCCATCACAGGTGAATCAGTGTTTTATTTTTTCTGTTTATCTGTGTGTGTTTATTAGGGAATAGTCGTGTATCTGTGGGACTGGATTCCTGAAGATTGGCAGATAATGTTTGTGATCATCTTCGGTGCTCTGTGCTACTTTATGCTCTTTCTAGCCAAGTATTTTGCACGGTGAGCATGCAAGATTGTCTCTTAGTGTTTCCTTTTATTGCCACAAGGGGGCACTGTAACTCTGACATAATTTACATGAATTTATTTGGCACTTTACCCTTTGGCTATGTTTGGAATAGCTATTTATTCAACAATGCACAATGCAGTGCGTACTGTACACAGTATGCAAATGTTCTGTATGGAATTGCCAGATACTACTATTTAAAATACAGTAGAGCATACAGCATGGAATAACATATCCCATAATGCAATGCAGTTAACTTGACTTACTTTTTCCAGTGCAACAAATTAACACTTTCGCAATGCAAAAATACATTTTTACATACTAGTGGTTCAAAAACTGCAAAATAACCAAATTTGTTCACAAGACAACACTCACAGAACTCAACATGCATGTAATGAGGTCTAGTCATTATGCTTACTACTTTACATACTATTTTGAAAGGTCAGGGTAGTGTCACTGCAAAATAATGACTTGCCTGCCACACTGCATCTCCTTCATATATAATTATGTATATTAATATGCTAACACTTTAGATTCTGCATGAGCATATTCTAGATCCCTTAACACTCCCCAATACCTAAACATAACTACTATAAACGTCCTTACTAACAATAAATAGCATGCAGAAAACTTTTTTATGAAGTACGCTCACTCAGGGACTTCTTTAGTGAGATTTTACCAGAAAAGATTTGAGATTTTGTAATCATCTTGTATCATTTGAACTGCTGTATTTTTGTGTTTGTTTGGTTTTTATTTTGTGTTTATGTAACTCTTGTATTATTCCAGCTCAGTTTACGCCGTGACGATAGACTTAGATGCTGACATGGCCAAAAAGAAAAAAACTACTACTATTTCTACTTACTCTCAGTAAGCAGCAGTTTATTGAGGGAAAACGCTTAAGAACCCTATACCATTAATATACTGTATATTGATATATGTCAAGATATATCTATACAATATATCAACATTTTTATCAAATACAATCATTGAATGCTAGCATTTAATCTTTCAGTGCACTGTGCCACTTACTGTAATTCGACTCTTGAGCTGATTTCTGTTTTTTAACGGTCACTTCATCAGTTTAACAGCAGCCCTCTCAATGCTGTGATCTCCTTCAGTCAGGGCAGTAAGACGATAACTAAGAGAGAGAAGAAGAAACTGGCAGAGTACAGCGATTACATCCAGGATGTCGTCAAACCCAAGAAGGTACGACATACATTACCGTACAATTACTGTTGATGCTGTTCATTCATGTGGTTTCCTGCTTAGTCCAAACTAAAGTAGTTTGTTCATCTCCCAGTAGGGCTACATGATATATTCAATGTTCATAACATATATATAATTAAGCGTAATTGTGAATATCATAATTACACTGTTTATTTAGCCTTTTTTTTCTTAAAGATGTACATTAGTCTCACAATCCTTGCTTGTGTTGAAATGTACATTACTGTTCAAAAGTTTGGGGTCAGCAAATTTTTTTGTTATTTTTTTAATCAGCAACTATGCATTAAATTGATCAAAAGTAACAGTGAAGACATTTATAATGTAACAAAAGAATCGTATTTCAAATATATGCTGTTTTTTAACTTACTCACAGGATCTTGAAAAAAGTTTATCATGGTTTCCAAAAAAATATTAAGCAGCAGAAACCGCGTCAACACTATTAATAATAATAAGAAATGTTTCTAGAGCAGCAAATCAGCATATTAGAATGATTTCTGAAGGATCATGTGACACTGAAGACTGGAGGAATGATGTTGAAAATTCAGCTTTGCTTCACAGGAATAAATTACATTTTAAAATATATTCAAATAGAAAACAGTCGTTTTAAATTGTAATAATATTTCACTAAATTGCTGTTTTTACTGTATTTTTGATTGAATAAATGCAGCCTTGGTGAGCATAAGAAACGTCTTTCAAATGCATTATAAAATTTTACCAACCCCAAATCTTTGAACGGTAGTTTGTTTTAACAGTGTCTCAAATTTAAAAATGCAAAAATGGTGTAAAAGTGATTCATTTCTTAATTCTTTTTTCTAATTTCTGTAAAATTGTCAGTTCAATTCCACACTGCTTATTTTCAGTTTACAACTATTAAAATGTTGCAAAAATTATTATATGTAGGTAAATATTGCTTTTTGTAACTCTGTGTTACACAATTAAATATAGCTTTTTTTCCTGTTAATTTAGAGCAAAACTTGCCTTGTTTTTTTTGTTTTTGTTTTTATTTACTGCATTTTACTTTTTTCATTATAAATATAATACTCTGAAAAAAAATCAACTTTTAACCATTAAAAAATATACTAATAGCAATATATAAATAATGACCTACATTAACAAAAAGGCAGAAAAATAGCAAGTTGTAATGACCAGCTGACAAGACCTAAAACCATCAAACCAGGCCAGTTTAACCAGCTTGGCTTGGCTGTGAGACCACCTTAGCCTCCATGTTGGTTTTTCAGCAGAGATGTGAGAGCATCAAAAACAGAACATGCATTTGAAATGTAAGCTTTTCGAAGGATTCCAGAGGATGTTTGTCTTCTAATCTTGTAATATGCGTCATCTTTATCTTAGCGCAAACTGTATGAGGAGTATCTTCGCCAGTGTGCTGCAGAATATGATTTCTGAAGGGAGCTGGCATGACAGCCGTCGGTCACATCAGAGTCGTCTGAATAATTCATAGAAAGCACATCCATGTGTGAAATGCTGATGTAGTTTCATATTTGCACGAGCGATAATAACAAATCGTGCCTTTTTGTTAAATCTGAATAGTGATGAACAAATGTGATATACAAACATGACCTCAATATAATCTTACACCAGCTAGTTTTTCTATGTGAACCATTTTTAATAATCAGACCTAGAACTGTTTATAGCCAATAAGCTACATTATGACTTCACAAACGTTGATTGTCCCGAGACATGAGCCTGGTTTCTGTGGCCGCCTTTTGATCTCCAGGAGCACTGTGGGAGAAACCAAAGGTACCCAATTCAACCTCATATACTCTTTACCCAGTGTTTATATGAGTAAGTGACATTTCTACTTTTTATAATGTAACACAGAGGAATTTCTCCCAGCAGCCACAGAAAAGGCACTCAACTAACTTTAGGTCTTCCTGTCATACATATGTATGTGAATGTACTGTTGCATGTTTGTCTATGTATACGTTGTTTAAATATGGTTTTAAACCGATTGTTTTGTAGTGTTTTGAAGTGATGCTACCTAAAATGTTACAATTTTAGCATTTTCCTAGGGCATTGATTTATGAATACAAACCTTTTTGGAAATAGCTGTTTTTGAAGATGCATATTGAGTGAGAGCCAATTTTTTTACCCATCCATATATAAGGCAGGCACTCGTACATGGTGGAATAAAGCACTGATAAACTTCTGTTTTCATTTTATTATATATATTTTTATTTTATTTTAATTTAATTACATTTTATTTTATTTTTCAGCTTTTTAAATGTAAATTTGAAAAAATTTACAAATTTAGCACTTACTTTTAAATAAACATGCATTTACCTCAGTGTTGCAAAAATGCCTTTTTAGGGCTGCAATAGTTCATATTTAATCATGTTTTCATAGTGTATTGTTACACAGATTTTCAAATGGATGTTGTTTTAAATTTAAGGCTTTAAAATGTCTTCTTTTTTTTTTTAAGCTCTGTTTTGCAGAAAAAAAAAGTCCTCTTTGATTGACTCGAAACTTTGTATTCCATTGTCTTATACTATGATAAATTGCTTGGTGTGTTTTCTGTACGTATATTTGAAAGAACAAGCAGCACAATAAAATGTTATAGCAACAAATTTATTCATCTTTTTTTTTTTATTCCACCAGAACCTGTCCCATATAACTGAAACCTCCATTCCCTGAGTTAGTACCAAAGAAAAGCTATAGGAGGTCAGTGCTACAAGAAAAGCATTCGTTATTGAGTACAATCTAAAAATACAATCAACAATCAATCAGTCTGTCATCAATAACTCATTTTACGATTAGTCAGAAAATACAATCCTCTTATAATACGAGCATTTCTATAGATAAAGTTATAGCTTGAAATATTTGTTGTCTTGTGCAATTTACTAGCAGGGCAACCACAGTTCCCATGAGCAAGAGGTATATTGTAATTTTTAAAGATCAGCGAGTGTTTCAGGACAGTTTTGGTGCAGGGGGTCATGCTTCAGTTTGGGGTGAGAACATTGAAAATGACAGTATCGCTTTATTGCCGTGGAGATTTCACTGTAAATTTGAACTTGAAATGCTTGATGGCTGGGAGAATTAAATAAAAATTCAGCGATTTGTGAAGTCTGTCAATAACACGCCAACCCCAAAATCACAAAAGGAAAAAAAAAATCGATGTATATTTTGCATAAAGAAAATAATGTCTAAAAAATATACTGTATTACATTAATAAGTAGGGCTGGGTAAAAATATCGAATTAATCGATTCTCATTTTTACGATACGATATCGATTCTTAAATCCCAAGAATCGATTATTCTAGCATGTTTTCAGTTAATGGACGGAACGTTGAAGTGCACTTCCCATCCAAAATATCGCAATAAGCATTGTGCTTTGGTACTTTTAATATGAAACAAAGTCTCAGATTTCAAATTATGTCCATTGTATTGCAGTATTCAAACAATAAATGCCATTTTGGCGCTGTTTAATGTGAGTGACAGATCGCTGTAGTGCCTCAGTAGGCCTACAACAGACGCGGCAGCGCGAGGTGCACATGAACTAATCATCTCCTCCACATTAATACCTGTTTCAGCACAAAATAAACATGACTAAACATCCGAAGGTAAGTTAAAAGAAAGAGTACAACTTTACAATCCATATCCTGTCTCATGTAATCGCTCAATCAGTGTTTCAGCCACGAAAAACAGCTTGTAAACAATGTCATGTAACGTCACATTTACCTCAGAAAAACATATTTGGTGACCATAAACTCATTAGTCAGATAGAAAAATAAACTGTGGAGAGGGGCATTTTGCTAAATATATGCACCATATAATATATTCATTATACTTTTTACTGTTCTTCAATGTTTAATTTATGTTTGAATAAATCCATCAAGTTTTTATGACAGCCACCATTTAAATGCTTACAGCCTATTTAAAAAAAACGAATTGAAGTAGAAATCGAATCGTGAAATTTGTGTCAAAACCCAGCCCTAGTAATAAGTGAAACATTGAAGTTAGGAGAATTCGGGAGAATGTGCTTAATTATCGTGAAAATAATGCCCTCAAAATAAAAAAAAAAAGAAAAAGTGTGTTTATATATTTATATATATTCCAATTTAAAATAACTTAAAATATAGTTTAAAATAAAATTGATTTCTGATGGCAAAGCTGAATTTTCAGCAGCAGTTACTTCAGTCTCATTCAAATATAGTATCAAATATATATATATATATATATATATATATATATGTCCAAATTCTCATTACAGCAATATATGTAAAACAGTATTTTTAT